TATTTTTTTTGTCTTTTTGTCTTAAATTTTTGAATTTCTATATTGTAATTTTAATAACTTTTTATTTCTACTATTTATTAATTTTTTTTTCTTTAATATTTTATAATATTATTGAAAACTTATAATTTTAATCTCTATAATTTTATCTTACTTTTTATTTTATAAGTATAATTTAGATTATTTATTTTATAATAAAATAATTTTTTTAAAAATTTTTATGAATTTACATAGAAAAATGTATTGAAACTCTTCCATTTGTGAGGCTACCATAGCAACTCTCTCATTTCAATGTATTCCATATTTTTCTCTCTTGTCTTGTGGTCCCCGAACCTGACCAAAAGAATTGACCAAAAAAAAGGTGAGAAAAGAATAAAAGAATGCGAATATAAAAATGAGATATATAATTGAGATTTAAGAGGGAGGGAGAAAAATCTTTCACACCGACTCCAATCTCCGTCCATCGCAGTGTGTGTCTGTGGATTTGTTTGGGAAGAAAAGAATGGAAGAGAGTCTATTAGAATCACGTAAACAAAGTGAGAAGAAGCAGAGAGTGACATGGGGTGGTTTTGGCCAAGAGATGAAGAGGATCATTCACATAGCACTGCCTATGATGCTTGTCACTGCTTCACAGTATTTGTTGCAGGTTGTCACAATCATGATGGTTGGTCACCTCAACGATGACCTCTATCTCTCCGCCGCCGCCTTAGCCATCTCTCTCGCCACCGTCACCGGTTTCAGTCTTCTTGTCAGTTCAACTCTACTTTCCTTCTCAACTTTATTCCACATATTTCCTCCTTTTTCTTACTCCTACATTAACACTGTCAGATATTACACTAATCCACTTAGTAATTTGAAAATCGTTATAAGTTATTCTTCAGAATGTTGGTTATAATCCTAACCCAGTTATCAGAACAGAAGAACTGGTTTGTAAGGTGATCATCTTTTCTAATTCATATAATTAGGTAATGTAAGATCTTGAACACACCTAATCATATCGAAGATTTGCATATAGTACTACTAGTTTAGTAACAACTTGATAATTGATGACTTGTTGAGTCCATCAAAGATCAACAATCATTAGTATATCTTTTGAATTTGATATTATCTTAAGAAGTTAAGTTTGAATCTAATTCAACCAACAAAACTAATTATGGGAATGATTCCCCTACTTGGATATACTATATCAATCATCCTAAGAGTCATACCAACTTTTTGCGAGGAAGATTACTTAAAGCTTCAAATAAATATGAAAATATGTAAGATCTCATGGACCTGCAAGTGTGATTTACTCTTTTATATATATACTTGCATTTCATTCGTTAACATCTTGGTCTACACAAGTCACAGCCATAATGGTCCACACAGTGACTACATAAGTATACAGCAAAAGAATCTTGGTAGTTGTTTGCGTCATTTATGGGAGTTATTAAAAACAAGTAATCATTTTATGAACGACTGAGATATAAAATCTCACTTGTAAAGTAAATTTTTTAAAATTCCCTTCTTATCCTAATTCTTATTGTCTGCCTCACTATTATGATCTAATTTACGAAGTACAAATTCAACGATGCTATAATGTACTATTAAAGCACTAAATCGACCCAAATGAAATTGAATGCTCGCGTCTAGATTGATTTAGTTTGTCTTTTTACCAACTATTTCTAACCAGTTAGCTTGCTCAAAATCATCAAGATTTTATTCCCCCATTAACTTGGTGCATTCGTAATTTGCACATGCTAACAGATGGGAATGGCTAGTGGACTGGAAACTATTTGTGGACAAGCATATGGAGCTCAGCAATATAAAAAAATTGGAGTGCAAACATATACCGCTATATTCTCTCTCATATGCGTTTGTGTTCCCCTGACTTTGCTTTGGATCAGCATGGAAAAGATACTAGTTTTCATAGGCCAGAATCCTCTAATTGCACATGAAGCCGGAAAATTCATAATTTGGCTTCTTCCAGCACTTTTTGCAAATGCAGTTCTGGGACCGGTAGTTCGATACTTTCAAATGCAAAGTTTGCTTCTTCCCATGCTCATAAGTTCTTGTGTCACTCTTTGTATCCACATACCCCTTTGTTGGGCTCTGGTGTTTAAGACTGGACTGAACAATGTTGGTGGAGCATTAGCAATGAGCATTTCAATATGGTTAAATGTGATTTTTCTTGTATTATACATGAGATACTCTCCTGCATGTGCAAAAACCCGTACCCCAATTTCCATGGAGCTATTCCAAGGAATTTGGGAGTTCTTTCGCTTTGCTGTCCCTTCTGCAGTAATGATGTGGTGATTTATCTTCCTCTTCACTTGAAGTTGTGTATATTAATTTCATCGAATTATAGATATTGGACATCTCGTGTCACATGACTAAATAGTATATATAAGTGACCTTATAAATCGATTTTGTGATAGAGTTATTTCCTATTCTAAAAATTGCTACAATGTAATATTTTCTTTATGCTGATGACTGTAGCCTCGAGTGGTGGTCATTTGAGCTACTTATCTTGCTGTCTGGGCTGTTACCAAATCCACAACTTGAAACTTCAGTTCTTTCTATTTGGTATGTTTGCTACATTCTTTTTTTTTTTTTTCCATTTCAACATGTAAGACTTTTCTGGCTCTCCTTGAACTGCAACTCAGGATCTAACAGTCTTATGAGATTGAGATTTTGTATTTTTTTACAGTCTCAACACCATTTCAACTCTCTATGCAATACCTTTTGGAATTGCTGCTGCAGCAAGGTGACATCATAAACATGTTCTTTCTAAATATTTTACAGCTCACAATCTAAGAATATATATAGCTTCTTACCTTTGGACATATGTCTAAACTAATTATCTTTTCCCCTCTCTAATTTTAGCACAAGAATTTCAAATGAACTAGGAGGTGGGAATCCACATGCTGCTCGTGTTGCTGTGTTGGCTGCAATGTCTTTTGCTGTTATGGATACAGCTATAGTCAGTGGAACCGTCTTTGCTTGTCGCCATGTTTTTGGTTATGTTTTCAGTAATGAAAAGCAAGTTGTAGATTATGTCACTGTCATGGCTCCTTTGGTTTGCATATCTGTTATATTGGACAGCATACAAGGTGTCCTGGCAGGTAAATTTTCCTCTTGTCTAATTATTTTTAGTTAAATTTAATATAGAAGAGAAACATTATCGCAATTCGTTTTACAATACTTTGGCCCAGGAATTGCTAGAGGTTGTGGATGGCAACACATAGGGGTTTATGTCAATCTTGGGGCCTTCTATCTCTGTGGGATTCCAGCTTCTGCCTCACTGGCATTTTTGGCAAAACTTGGAGGAAAAGGACTTTGGATTGGAATACAAGTCGGTGCTTTTGTTCAATGTGTTCTATTTTCTACCATAACAATTTGCATCAATTGGGAACAGCAGGTATGTATCCTCTCTAACCTTTCTCACAAAACCACCAAACTTGTAAATCTAGTAATTTACTACTGTTGTTTCACGAACTTAATAAAGGACAATAAGGTCTCTAAGTCCTCGTTTGGATACCATTTTGATTTTGCTTAATGCAGGCAATCAAGGCAAGAAAGCGGTTATTTGATGGTGAAATTTCAGCAGAAAGTAGATTGGTATGAGAAGCCCATGATCAAATCAAAAGGCCAATTTTCTAGTGATGGGAACAACTCCACGTGTGAGAAGTAGGAGCACATTATCTTTATTGGCATTGGCAGTTTGAAAGTAATGCTGAATGAGATTATGGATCTTGATAAAAGGCTAACGATGTCGTATTTAATGTTCTTTTTAATATCGAAATCACAAATTTTGATCATAGAGATTTATTAAATAAACTATATTCGCGTTGTGCGGTTTATTGAATTTTTTTTATATTTTTATATAATATTTTAATATATATAAATTAAAATTTTATAATATAATTATTATTATTTTAAAATATAAAGATATGAAATTTGTGTTCATACTTTTATATTAAAAAAATCATTAAAAATAAGTATTGACATTATGTATAAAAATAAACATTACGTAAAATTAGTTTGATAAAAATGAAATTAAGGTGAATGTAGATAAAAATAAGAATTTATTATTGAAGTCAAAAATTGATTACAGAATAACAAATCACCAATGAAATAAAAATAATATTAAAATGAATATAGATCACTATTTAGATGAATATTTGTCTTTTTTTGTGTTAGGTTGTTGAATTGTTTTTTTTTGGTTTGTGTTTCTTTAAATTTTGAATCAAAATTGACTTTTCATCTTGAGGAATTGTCAACAATTTATATAGAATTGGCTTTTAAATTGAATGTTATTATGTAAATTAATTGAAATGAAGTGTTGATTGTTAAAATGTCATTTATAGAAAATAATAAATAATATTTAATTATTATTTATTAAAATTAATGATATAATAGGTAAAAGGAGAAAGATTTATAGTTATTATGCAGAGGTAATTCAAAATGACAGATAAGTAATTTTATTGATATGACAACATGTTATAGATATTTTTAACCAGCGTGTCAAGGTAATACAAGTAAATGATGATTGTTAAAATGTTAGTTATAGAAAATAAGAAAATATTTAATTATTATTTATTAAAATTAATGACATAGTAGGTAAAAAGAGAAAGATTTATAATTATTATGTAGCAGTAATTCACAATGACACATAATCAATTTTTTGACATGACAACATGTTAGATATTTTAAGGTCACATGTCATCGTAATACAAAGTAGCTTGGCTTTAAATATGAAATTAAATTGAATGTTATTATGTAGATTAACCGAAATGAAATATTGATTGTTAAAATGTTAGTTATAGAAAATAATAAATAATATTTAATTATTATTTATTAAAATTAATGACATAGTAGGTAAAAAAAGATATTTATAATTATTATGTAGAGATATTTCAGAAGGACACAATCAATTTTATTGACATGATAACATGTTAGAAATATTTTAAATTGATGTATTAACGTAATACAAAGTAACTTGACATTTATATTATAAATAAATAGATAGATTATGGTACTCATAAAATTATAATTTTTAATAAATTTTAATTAAGACACTAAAAAACGTGTTAGAGAGAATGTCATGAGTATTTTATTTTAATTCATTATTATTGTTACTAAAATATTTTTGTCAAATACATTAAGCTTTCCTAGTTCTATTATATGTAATATTATTTTTTTTTTATATTTATTTTCATAGCTTGTCATTATTTTTTTTTGTCCATGTTATAACTTATCATTAGCATTATTTATTTTGTATATAGTAATGTCATTATCTTTAATAAATAATATTTAATTATTATTTATTAAAATTAATGACATAATAGGTAAAAAGAGAGAGATTTATAGTTATTATGTAGAGGTAATTCAAAATGACACATAATCAATTTTACCGACATGACAATATGTTAGAGATATTTTTAACTGACATGTCACGGTAATACAAATAAATGATGATTGTTAAAATGTCAGTTATAGAAAATAATAAATAATATTTAATTATTATTTATTAAAATTAATGACATAGTAGGTAAAAAGAGAGATTTATAGTTATTATGTAGAGGTAATTCAGAATGACACATAAGTAATTTTATTGACATGATAACATGTTAGAAATATTTTAAACGGATGTATTGACGTAATACAAAGTAACGACTTTTATATTATAAATAGATAGATAAATTATGGTATTCATAAAATTATAACTTTTAATAAATTTTAATTAAAATAATAAAAAATGTGTTAGAGAGAATGTCATGAGTATTTTATTTTAATTCATTATTATTGTTACTAAAATATTTTTGTCAAATACATTGAGCTCTCCTAGTTCTATTATATGTAAGATTTTTTTATATATTTATTTTTATAGCTTATCATTATTTTTTTTGGGTCCATGTTATCACTTATTATTAGCATTGTTTATTTTGTATATAGTAATGTCATATCTTTAATAAATAATATTTAATTATTATTTATTAAAATTAATGACATTGTAAGTAAAAAGAGATAAATTTATAGTTATTATGTAAAAATAATTCAAAATGATACATAAGCAATTTTATTGACATGACAACATGTTAAAGATATGTTTAACTGGCATGTCAAGGTAATACAAATAAATGATGATTGTTAAACTGTCAGGTATAGAAAATAATAAATAATATTTAATTGTTATTTATTAAAATTAATGACATAATAAATAAAAAGAGAGATTTATAGTTATTATGCAGATGTAATTCAGAATGACACATAAACAATTTTATTGACATAACAATATGTTAGAAATATTTTAAGTTGACATGTCAACGTAATACAAAGTAATTTAACTTTTATATTATAAATAGATAGATTATGATAGTCATAAAATTATAATTTTTAATAAATTTTATTTAAGATAATTAAAAACGTGTTAGAAAGAATGTGGTGAGTATTTTATTTTAATTCATTATTATTGTTACTCTTCAAATTAAAAATATTTTTGTCAAATACAATTAGCTCTCCTAGTTCTATTATATTTATTTTCATAGCTTATCATTATTTTTTTTTGGGTCCATGTTATCACTTATCATTAGCATTATTTATTTTGTATATAGTAATGTCATTAACTCATTATTATCTTTAATTGAAGAGACGTCTGAGACATATTTGAGAGTGTCATGATAGTATTTTTAACTACCATTATAATGTCATGTAAAAACAAAAAATACGATAATCTTGACTGTAATTTAAGGTGTTTGGTACGTTCTGATATAGGTGAAAATTATTGACTTATAATTATAGTTTTAGCTGTGGGAAAAAGTTATTAGTTATAAAAAAAAAAATTATACCCAAAGTCACAATTTGTCATTAAATGGGAAATAAGAAGTAATAAAGTAACTCTAAAAAAGAAATAGGTAAAATAAGTATCAAATTAAGACATAAAAAGTCAGAATTATTTGAACCACGTAAAAAGTAACAATAGCGACAGGCGTGCAAGACAAAATGAGGTGATGAAGCAAAATATATATAGTGGTCCTCGGCCTAGGCTATCCAATAAGGAAGAAGCCAAATCCAACACAAATACCTACTATTAGAGTCGTAATTGGCATTCTCCAATAATAATTTATTATATATGATGGATTCATTCTATATAATATAGTTTATGTAAATAATCTATAATTTAATCTTTGCCGCTACAAAACAATATAAAAATATATATCTCATTTTTTTTCTTAATTTATTAAGCTTTAAAAATTATTCATTTTAACTTAATAATAGGATTAGTTTAATGGTGTGGAATTCGAGTAACATGTATAAAGTTCTAAATTTTATCTTATGTTATTGTCATCGTTAACGAAGAAAAAAAAAATTATATATATATATATATATATATATATA